TTTCCTTTCCTTTCCTTTCCTTTCCTTTCCTTTCCTTTCCTTTCCTTTCCTTTCCTTTCCTTTCCTTTCCTTTCCTTTCCTTTCTCTTTTTGTTTGTAGGTTTTTTAGTTCTGTATTAGTTTTTATATATATAAACTTTAATAAAAGTATTATTAAAAAAAGAGAAGACTAATTGTTGCTTTGACCAATCAAAGACAATGCTTTACTTATGATAATCAGAAATTATCCAGGAGTTAAACACGACTTATGACCCCTGGTGGAATTATAAAAGCAAAGTCTGAATTTTACAAGTTTTGCCTTCATATAAATGGGATTACCTGAAGAGAGTCTCTTTTGGGAAACAAAAGGTGAATTTCATTATTTGGGCCTTTAGCAAATGGTCAGGTGATCAGATGGTTAAGGGGAATTGTTGAGCCATGCCAAAACTAGAGGATTGCTGTGCTGCTAATTAAAATATCAATTAAAAGATTAGTGAGTGAGTGAAGATTGAAGTGTGAGGGGTTCACTTTGTGAATACATCAATTCCTACATCAGAACTATATCTCAGACAAAAATGTGGGAAGAAGTGGATTATTTTTCTGTCCTTCTCAAAATAGTTGGTCCTTCTGATTGTGAATTAAATAAGAAAGAAAAAGTTCTTTGGAAAACAAAGGAAGATTATAAGTGGATATTAAATTAATCTTTATTAAAAAAATCTGAGTAATGAGGCATGACAGTTCCATATGAAATGCATACTGTAGAAACAACTTCTGATAGAGCTGACATTGATTGCATTCTCTGACATGCTAAGCATAGTTTAGTACTTACATGGTTACAGCACTCACCCAGAAAACAAAGTGTAATGTGACAGCCTCTGGGAGTCCATGCAAGCACCTAGACCAGTGTTCTCAACCTCATCAACTTTAAAATGTCTGGACTTCAACTTGCAAATTCCCCAGCCAGCTGGGGAATTCTGGGAGTTGAAGTCCACTCATCTTAAAGTTGATGAGGCTGAGAAACACTGGTCTAGGCTAACACTTTGTTTCAGTTTAACTGATGAGTAGAATCTGAAAGTAGGAAACAGAGCTTCGTTTCTTATAGGAAGATTTTTCCCATACGAGAAAGGGTGGGGCAACTGCTGAGTTGGCAAAAGAAGGGGTTAAAAACAAAGTTGGCTGAGGATCTGAAGACCCACTGAAGAACTGGGGATCATCTTGGGACAAAACAACTCAGCACAGAGGTGACTGTAGAGCCAGAAGAGAGACAAAGGGGACTATATTCTGCCAGCCAGAAAGTGCTGCTGCCAGCCTGAGAGTATGTCAGTCCGTTTCTCATATTGAAATAGAAAATAGGTAGAATTAGAGCCAACATTACACAATGCATACACACACAGGTAAAGAATGCCTACAGCGCATGTTAGTCAGAAAGGGGGAGGGGAGGACATGTTTGCAGCATTTTAAAGTCAGATGAGGTTGTTTATCAGAATTGGAGAATGGAATATAACTTTTGAAAAAGCTGTGAGAACCAAAAGTAAAAGCTGTTTGAGGACTTAATAAAAGAGAAAAGAAAATGCACAAGAGGTGCTTTGCACAGTGCCTTATATAAAATCCTGTGAACTCACCAAAACCTGCAACAAAGCTGAATGTAACAGTGGATTTGGGCATCCAGTTACTGAAGCAGATACTAACTGTTATAATCCAAATATCTTACATTTTCTGGTTTTGTGTACTGTACAAATAGGTTTTATTATAACAAATGCCGTTAGCTGCTGGATAGCTTCTAAACACGTTGGAACATAGTACTTTTATTACAAGCAGTATTTCATCTTCCACTTCTTTTTCTTTCATATGTATTTTGTATTTTATTTTGTACATTCATTTTATTTTATACACATGTATTTTGATGATTTTATGTTATTGAGAATTATATTTATTTTTTATATTGCAAATTAGGTGTGAGATCACTTTAAATGAATATAAAGTAAGATACATTAAAGAGTTTTTGTTTGGATGCCATGAAGCAGAGAATGTTGTGATTTAAGTTTTCTTTAATGCCCAACCAGTGCTATTAAGTAAAACATTTCTGAGATGAATGCCAATTTTTTCTTAATGTTGGAAGTATTAAAAATAGTTCATAACTTAGCAGATCAGTCCCTCTGTGTTTCCTTTCTTCCTCCCCCCTCCTCCCTCCCCGCCCCTCCCTTCCACTTGCCTTTTTCTTCAGATATCATTTTGGTTTGTTTTTCTGTATTATAATGTTTCTGTAATAATGTTTATTATTATAGGATGCATTTGTTTATAAATTAAACTAGTGCTTCCAGGAGATAACTGAAAAAAATATGGAAAATTATTAACTTTAAGACAATATTTGTAACATAGTTGCTTTTGTTTCCTTTGTCCTGCTGAAATCTAGATTATAGAAAGGTTTGTAACTAAGGCATTTGTCACAGAGCATTTATTTATTTATTTATTTATATAGCCGCCCATCTCAGACCAGTGACTCTTGGTAATCTCAGTATTACTAGTTGGCAAGGAAATCCTACGTCTCATTTTACAGTGGCCATCGCTGTGTTGGAATTTAGCATGACATTGTAGTAATGGTAACTAGTCCCATAACATTTTGTCTGGTCAGCGCTAAGTGAACTGGAACTATGGTGCTGTTATTCCAGAAGACTGAATGCTTATGCTGTCATCTTTATTATAAGAGTCTTATATGGCCTGTTAACAATCAAGCTGTATAAGAGAATTTACAGAAGAATTTACAGAGTTGCTCTGCAGTGAGATGGGTGGTGACAAATTTGAAATATAAATAAATAAATAAATAAATAAATAGGGAAATATTATGCTAACTCAGAACTTCCTTCTGATTTCTGGCCTAGTATGGTTTTTCTGATGCCCTTAAAGGCAATCATTTTATCACAATAACTTCACTTGACTCAAGGTATCCCAATCCTTGATAAAATATCAACCTGCATCATCTTAGTCTTGGCTTCCTAAAGCCAAGTCACACAAAAGTTGTAGAATTATGGAATGTAAGGGTTGGAATTGATCTTGGAAATAATCTAGTCCGATCCTCTGCCAAGTACAGGAATTCAGCGTTGTTTCTACCCATCATCCCAGCTTGTCAAGACCCTCCTGAATCTTGATATTGCCCTCTAAGATATTTGTTATTCCCCCAATCTCTGTGTTATTGGCAAATTTGATATAATCATATTTTATAAATCCTCATCCAAGTAATTTATAAATTGGTTGAATAGCACAGGGGCATTTGACAATTACTTCAGCTTGACACAGAGCCATTGATATACACTTGTTATATTAATACAGTTGTTTGAGCCAACTCTGGTTGCATTTATTTATTCATTCATTCATTCATTCATTCATTCATTCATTCATTCATTCATTCAATTTATATAGCCGCCCATCTCAGACCAGTGATTCTGGGCAGCTAACAATAATAAAAACAATCAAACAAGTGGTAGCATAGACCCTCATTTTGTTATCTTCTCATTGCCCATTGGGATCTGGAAGAGAAGCTTCTCTCTGGGTTGTATTCTGTAAAGAATAGCATCTGCAGGGATCTCAGGCTTCAGCATTTTTATTCTCTGCACTCTACCAGACCTTATTAGCTATTTGCTAAATCATTAAGACCTAGTCATTTCAGCAGGCTTTTGGGGACTGAGGGAATTATTTTAGTCTTTTTTTTATAAGGATGTGGCATGTGGGTTGTTATATATTATGTTATTTTATATTGATATATTTAGTTTTAATCTTCTTATTGTTTTGAAAGTCTGTAAGCCACTTAAAGTCACATATAATTGGAATGACATATAAGCTTAGTAAAATAAATAAATAAAAATAAATGCATCTCATGAAAGACTTTGTTGAATGTTTTACTGAAACCAAAATTCAGTATCTCCACTGCATTCCCGTGGTTAACAAAGTGAAACAAATTCCCATGGTTAATAAAACAGGAGATCAGATTGGTTTGGCATAATATATCCTTAATAAACCTATTATGGCTCCTTTTCTAAATATTCACAAACTGACTTCTTAATCATTTAAGAATTTTGCTTATATTGATATCAAGTTAATTTTACCTGATTTTTTTATTACACTATGGTTTCAAGTTTATTAAAATGTGGACAATGGTTATCTTGTTGCAGCTTCCTCAGTTTTGGATATTTCAATGTGGATAATTTCTTTTACATATTAAAATTCTGTTAATTTTTCTTAATTTTTTTAATTAAAGGTTTTGAAGCAAAAGCCCTTGGAGAATGCCCATCTTCAGCAAATATCAGTACGGCGATTTGCTTCATTTGGTCTCTTCTCAATAACGGAAGACAGTAAAGTTACAGAAGATGATTCAAGGTACTGGGTTCAGTACAAAAGCATCTATTATCCTGACTATATTATATCATTAAGGTAAATATTATTCCAATTCTGCAAGTATTTTCTGTGCCTGCATGTTATTTTTTATTTTCCTTTTTAGTATTTATTCTGAGTGAAAAAATGGAATTATTTCAACCAAGGCTGAACTCAAAACTATATCATCAGTTAAAATTGTAAGTTGAACTGGGCTTTGTTTAATTTCATATACACTATCTAATCCTAGGGTAAACTTTCTGTTGCTCTCTAGATGTTTGGGAGTATAACTCTCATAATCCTTTACCATTGGCTATGGTGTCCAGAACTCATGGGAGCTGAAGTCCAAAACATCTGGGGGATTCCCATTCCTACTTTGGTTTAATCTTTTTTCCATTAGATGGATTCTCATACATGAACAAAAGATCAGATAAGAACATCTTGCTTTCTTTGTCTCACTCATATGAATGGTGCTTATGTACGAAAGATCTTTGAAGAAAAACTGCATGAAGACTTTATAAGACAGTATTTTGCCAATTAAGTGTTTATTTAGGAAGGCATTTTATTTAGGAAGTGTTTATTTGCTTAACGTTATACCCACTGTGTCTGCCTACTTTTTCTATGTAAACTTCTTGTAAATTTTTGGTCTTTGAAATAATGTCACAGTATTGGTTTTAACTGTTGATAACTTCCTTTAGTGCTGTATAATCACCAGAACAGCAGGATAAAAATACAATTCTGTATTTAAAAATACAAAGATAAAAGTAGTTTTACATAGCAAGTTGGAACAGAAAAGTTGCAGAAGAAAGCAAATCTTTTTTTTCCCCCCTAAGGTAAAGCAGCTGTTTTCATTACAGTATTATGAATATAAATGCAGCTAGATCCAAAGGAGCTAGGAATAATTTTGTAATTTAAACGAGCCCTATCTTTATATTCAGGTTGGCCTCAAACACTTTGCTTTGCAGCAAAGCAGGCAAGTTCAGGGAAAGTGCTTTATTTCTTAATAATACTGTACTTTACATGATGGAATGTGAGGGTGGCCTTGGAAGATGGGGAGAAGTGCCGCCTAGGGAACGATCAGATAAAAGAGAAAGGAATCTGCAACAGGGTAACTGTCAAAGAAAGAAACTTAGGAAAGACCCGTCCTAACTACTCAGGCGGTGAATAGGGAGGGCAGGAAGTTTGTGCTTTCAGACTTTCAATATTCTGTTAATGTAGCCTTACAATAAAGTAGAATTAGTTCATCTAGTCTTGCTTCCTGTCTGGTTTACCTGTGAGGGCTGACAACAACCTACAATTTCTCCACGTCTATACCATGTCAGCCTTCTCCTACAAACTGGCTAATTTCTGTTCTTGATGCCTTGCTGTGACAAAAGTGCCTAAGAAAGCAGAGCTCGGTATTAAGGATTTAAAAAAAAAACACTAGTAGGTATAGGAATAACTTTTCTGCATGTTGCTTTACTGAAATAAATCTATCACATACTTTACAAGCATTAAACAATTTGCTTTCAATCATGCTAGTTTTCTGCCTTTATTTGTAATTCTGCTTGTAAGTATTATGTGGATGGTAATGTGCTCCCTGATTGTATTTCCCCCAACTCTGATTAAATAGATGGATGCTTTCAGTATGAAGAATTTCAGCATGCTGTGGATTATCACAGAAGTCTTTACTGCTAGAATCAGTAATGTGGAGCAATTTTAAAATCCTGCAGAAATTATTACAAGATTTTGATAGCCTTGACAAAGAATATCAGAATTAGATTTATAGTTTTATTTCTATCCTTTGTTTGATTCTGTAAATTTCTGAAGCTTGTGTTTCATAACAAGAACGCTGTAGTCTTACTATCCTGAATATTATGTTTTTCCCCTAAAGCTCTTTATTAGGTCTGCTATGGATGTTGAGTCTGATGATATTTCCTTTCTAGAAAAATGTATTCTGGAAAATCTGGCTTGCTTAATTTACACACTACGAATTATTGATTTTCATTGATTTTTAGTGGCATTTGATATAGATATAGATATAGATGTTATAATAATTACCAATTTAGTGGCATTTGATATTGATATAGATATAGATGTTATAATAATTACCAATTAGATTAATTATTATGCTGTGCATTTTAAATTAGTGATAGGCAATTTAGATTAAAATTATTTGATATACACTTTGAGATTAAACTCCAAAGAATGTGCTTGCTTTTTAATAACCTTCTTTCTTTTTTACACTTGAGAGAACTGGAAGTTCTAAGAACAGTATTGCACATAGATTTCCTTGCTAAACAAGGATGTTCTTGTAATATTAGAGGAAAGGATTCTGAAGGTAAAGTTTATGCAATCCTGTGTTTCTCAGTGCATTGCTTGAATCAACTTTTCAATCAAATTCTGTAAGATTTATCAGGGCTTGAATCTCTATCAGCCAAGTACCATCCAAATGTGTGAATTTCAGGTTCAGAATTCTCAGTAATAACTATGTTGGCTGGGAAATTGTGGGAGCTGAAGTGCAGACGCCTGCAGGGTACCCAGGTTGAGGAAGAGTGCTTTGTATGTCCAAACTTCTCACAAAACCATGAAAAAGAGGTACAGTAAAACTTTCAAGGAATCTGATTCATTAGAATATGACAAAAAGTCCTAAAAATGGAAATCATAAAAGTAATAACTGTAAAAATGAAGATACAGCAGAATTAGATAAGGGTGAGAGAAAGAATTTATACCCTCAAGCTATATATACTGTAAATATGACTAGATGCTAGGTTCTGCTATAGTTGATCTATACTGTTGAACTTCATTTCATCTGCAGTCAAGCAACTTATCTGACTGAGCTCCATCCTTGAATCTTCTGCTGCTAAGCCCCCAAGTGAGTTGTTTGGGTTCCTGGAGGGAGATTTATAGCTGTGCCCAGAAAGAAACTCTTACATCTATAGCTTTTAGGTTCTCGTTTTGTTTTTAATGTAAAAGTGCATTTGCCTATATTACTTCAAACATTTTAATACTGTTAATACGAGAGAAACATTATGAATGGAATGTTACAAGATAATGTTATAAGATAATGGATTCCTGCCATAAGCCACTTATAAGCTAAATGTGGCACAGGATAGACAAAGGGTAGCATGGGATTGGAAGGAGATAGTAGTAAGTAGAGGAAAAATATCTGTTTCCTAGCATATGCTTAGATGATGAGAACAAAGTGGTTGTGCCAAAGGCTTCGCAGTATATGGATGTTGAATGAATAGTTCTGTTTTTATTTTTCTTCTCTTTCCACCTTTTAATGAATATTGTTTTTAAAATATTGTTTTAATTTATTTTATTATTGTATTTTCAGTTTCAAAAAATGTGAACTATTTCAAAATGAGTTTGTATGGGAAGTGATATATACATAAATGAAATAAATGGAGGGTTTGAATGACAAAAAGGAAACATCACAGAAATGTTTTGGGAGGTATTTTTAGGCATAAATGTAGCTAAAGAGAAAGAACTAAAGAGAAAGAACTAAAGGTGCTTAAAGGAATAGATCTTCAAATATGTTTCAAAAGCTTGAAGAAAATGAATAGAGGTTTCTAAGATAAATGCAATCTGTATTGAGAGTGACATTCTCATTATGTTTAGTAAGTAAAATCCTCTTTGGAGCTGAGAATTTTGTGGGATTTGG